CTTGTGTTAATTTTCTGCATAAGTCGTATGTACTAAAGACTTGTGTCTTGTATGGCAGAACAAAGCTGGCACATGGTTTGCTGTCTGGTAAATACTCTGTTCCTGTAACTGAGGTATGTTTGTTTTAGTAAAATGGGTTATTTAATTTGATGGTTTCTGATCCTGCTTGATGGTGGCTGAGATTTCTTATATGTTGTCCAGGAAAAAGATCATACAAATGCTGCTGCCCCTACAACAAAATCAGTAAGCTCTCTCTGGATAAGCACCCGCACTCTAAGTGGCCTGCCTTACTTATCTATGCTTATGCATTGTTAATGTTTTGGTCTTCCAGTGTAAATTTGAACTTAATATGCAAGTGATTTGTTTCGTGTTCACCCTTATACTGAATCTTGATGAGACTATTGTATCCATATTTCCCAATACTTCTATCAAGACACAATTTCCCAATAGTCCCTCAATTTTCTATACTTTCAAAAATTAGTGAAAAGGACATCCTTCCCCCATTTAGTAGAATATGCGAGGTTCATTCAGTGATTTCCTTTTGACTTGTTCTGTATCTCGTGTTTCTGTGCACCTTGTAATAAATATTAGAAACAGGAAGGCATACCCCCTCGTATGTTTAAAGCTGTTATAGCTGCCAGCCATCCGGAATTTTCCTCCATGAGACAACAGGTACATTCACCATCTTTTATGATCTATCTCAAAAGATTTGCAATTTTTTACAGAAGTCTTTTTTTTTTTTTAAATCCTTAAAAGATGTGTGGTGTTTTTTATGTGTATTGTCTTATTTAATATAGAAATTTGAATTTGAAAAGCTCTCTCTGTGTCTCTCTTATCATAAGCCACTAGGAGAACCTTCTTTGATCATCTCACATATGATTTTTACTGCTATCATTGTTTGCTCTTTAATTTAAATTATTGAAAACCAAATTTTGTTTAGGATGCCTTGGAGTTCTTCCTTCATTTTCTTGACCAAGTTGAACGAGTTCATTCTGGAAGACCTGAAGTGGATCCTGCTAGGAGTTTTAAGTTTGGCATTGAAGATCGTATTATGTGTTCATCTGGGAAGGTTGCTTACCATAGAAGGCTCGACTACATTCTCTCATTAAACATTCCACTTCATGCAGCCACTAATAAAGGTGAGTTTCTTCTTGGGCCACTATTGATGCTGAAATATGTTTCCAAAAGCTGATAATCTTGTTTTCTTCTTTCTTTGAAAATTCAGAAGAACTTGAAGCATTTCAGAAATTGAAAGCTGAAAAGATTGCAGAAGGCAAGGAAGTGTAAGTTCATATGGTTTCAAATTCACTATCATGTTTTCACTTTTAATCTCCTTGCACACTTTGAACTAAGAGTGGTGAGTTCTTCCAGATCCAGTGATGAGATTGTACGTCCAAGGGTTCCTCTAGAAGCATGCCTTGCAAGCTTTTCATCTCCAGAAGAGATACAGGATTTTTACAGCACTGCCTTGAAGGCCAAGACAACAGCTGTGAAGTAAGCTTTCTGATTGCTGGTATCAAACTATTATTAGATGGTATTATTTTGTCTGCTGAAGGCCGATTGATGGACAAGAACACATGTGGAGGACTTGAAGTAATTTGGAGAAAGAAAATGATGGAGCTGTCCACTAATTTATTATGAAAAAACCTTTTAAATATAAATATGGACCGAGTAACTAACAAATAAAATGGCAGGCATGTTATTCACAAATTTGCCATATGCGGGTCAGGGTGTTTTTACCTTGGACATTTGTCTTGGGTGTTTTCAACAGTAGACCATTTGTTTAGGAAGGAAAATTGGTTAATGTTCCACTACAGAGTTAAGATGTTCTTTTATCATATATTTCTGAACTGGTAATCTGCATGTCTTATATAATCCTGATGTCTATTGGTTAAAAATTATTTCCTCCCTTAAATCTAGTTCAATGCACTGCAGGAGTACAGGTCTAACTTCATTCCCTGATTATCTGGTGTTGCACATGCGAAAGTTTGTAATGGAAGTGGGCTGGGTGCCAAAAAAGCTTGGTATGTTTTGCTGGGTTCCTGAATATGCATTAATACCGTTGGGTTTTTATAGTCTTCTCATTGTTTATGGTATCTGTCTATGCAGATGTATATATAGATGTTCCTGATATCATTGATATCAGTCACATGCGGAGCAAGGGACTCCAACCTGGTGAAGAGTTGATGCCGGAGGGTGGTATGTGTTGCAAATTTTCTTTTCCCAATGTCTTGTATAATTCTTTTTTTGGAGAAATTGTAAAAACTTTTCAATGGTGCCTGTTCACATGTTCGTTCTTAGACATTTCCTTAAGAATATTTATTGTGGAAATTTTCACCCAATTTGTAATGCATTTTAGTGGCACCTTCCTTGTGTTATCATCCAAATTAAACCCAAGTCGTCTCATATTTTGAAGTCTGTAAAGTAGCAGGCAAACAAAATTGTTAAAATGACGTTTTTAGCATTTAATTGCATTATGTTCCTTTGACATGTCCTTTGCTAATTGAGTTTGGAAAATGTGCCAGCATCAGGAGAGAGTTCCTTTTGCATTTTTGGTCCTGTATGGTATATGCGTACATGTGCTTGTGTAATACAAAATAATGTTATGTGCTTCTGAATTATGTGTTGACTACACTTTTCCGTTTCAGGAGAAGAGGAGGAACCGAATAAACCTGTCGCCGACGAGAGTATTGTTTCCCAGCTTGTTTCAATGGGTTTCAACCATTTACACTGTCAGAAAGCTGCCATTAATACGTCGAATGCCGGAGTGGAAGAGGCAATGAATTGGCTACTTTCTCACATGGATGATGCAGGTAATGCAACTAGGTTCTTGCCAGGGTAGTTCTTTCATATCAGAAAGTAGCATCTTTTTAGCAAGAGTTAGCTTTTGTTGTGACACCGAGTTATGTTTAGGGAACTAAATGATACTGACACCTGCTTCCTTTTCCAGATATAGATACTCCTATTTCTCAAGGAGGACAGTGTGTGGTTGACCAATCAAAAGTGGATATGTTGATTTCATTTGGTTTTCAAGAAGACATTGCTCGGAAGGCACTGAAAGCATCGGTAAAACTTTTTAGGAGCTCCTTTTTCTTTTTAGTATTGGCAGCTGCTTGTGTATTTGTTTAACTACTGAAGATTTTGGCAACCTTTGCTTATCTTTAAATTATGTATATTTGACAGGGTGGTGACATCGAGAAAGCCACAGATTGGATATTCAATAATCCTGATGCTTCTGTTTCATCGGACATGGATGCGACAACATCTGATGGTGCACCTACTGCGATTGATGCTGGACTGCCTGATGGAGCAGGAAGTAAGTATCTTATACCATTTCTTATATTATAGATGTATATGCATGATGCATATGTGATACGCGTGTGTTGAACAGTACTTACATGAATATATCCGATGTGTTCGATTTTAGGTTTTTGTAACTGTTGTCACTTGGGTCTATGCAGGATATAGACTCATGGGAATTGTAAGCCACATCGGAACATCTACTCAATGTGGTCATTATGTTGCGCACATCTTAAAAGATGGCAGATGGGTTATTTTCAATGACAGCAAAGTTGGAGCTTCCGTTAATCCTCCCAAGGACATGGGATACCTTTACTTCTTTGAGAGGCTTAATAGTTGAGTCGAGAGACGCCACACTTGTCGACGTTGGAGGACAAGATCGGAGATGTTCAAAGTTGGAAAAGAGGTGGTGCAGATATTTGTGGAAACTCCGTGATCTGCCAGTATGCTGGGGGATGGTGTTTGAATTTGCTTACAAGATTGATGCCATTGGCTTTCTGAGTTTCCGCATTCAGATTTAGCTGACCTTACTCGTTTCTTCTTTTAAACATACTGAAGTTCTCCTTGTACTTTCTGAAGATATTTTTTATGAACGATAATAACATTTAAAAGGACCGTCTTGAAGGGGCATTTTGATTTTTATTGTGTCATTAAGTAGTTTTTTGTTTTTTATTTTATTTGGTACACAATTATTTTTTATATATATTTTAAAAAAAACTAATGAAAATAGCGTAAAAAACTTTTTAAAACCAAAAGGATCTAATGAAATTTTATTAATAATACTAAAAAAAGCGGTGATATTTTCAAAGTTGAACTTCATAGCATAAGCATTGCAGTTTCTCCTTGTTTGTATTTTGAGCTCGAGGTTGACTTGGCGTGCTTGTTATATGAGCCGAGCCCGAGCGACGGAGTGAGCTTTAAAATGTGGAGACCGATGCCTAGCTCAAGTTGTTTAGAGCTTTTGGTTTCTTGTTCCCTTGACTTGGATGTCCAAAATCAATGTTTTGAACGAGGTTGATCTGGGTGAGGAATCGGTTGAGCATCCTGGTCTGCTTAGTGCCCAAGTCGAACTTGCAACCTGGATGGAGGTCTTTTGAATGGACCAACCTAACAGCGGCCGCGTCTACTTTCCAAAGCTTGGATCAATCAATCTTCTCAATCCAGCTTGAGAGGGGGAGTATTGGACGATTGTGTATGGTTGTGGGCTGTAGCTGACACCGTACCTAAACAATGTCGATAGGTATGGCTTAATGTACGGAGAGGGTTCTCTCCCACTTTTGTTCATCTATATATTCTTGTTCCTTGTAATCTTTTGATACGAGACCCATATACAACTTTTCATCAAAGTCTCCGACTGGTATCACATTCACGTTTTCCAGCCTACCGTACAAGGCAAATACTGCGAGAACGAGGTCAGATGATTGTGACTTGGTCGACACCATCAGATGGATGGCGTGGCACCTTCCCTAAAGGATTTTTTTTCTTTTTTTCGCGAATTCCTCCTTTGGAGTGCTGGTTTTGTAATATAAAACATGAATAGTATTTCTGGATTGCATTTTGTAATCGTATTCGACGTTCTTTTATTCATATCTGGTTTATCCGCTACTTAAACTGATGAAAATTGAATTATCAGGAGACTATATATGTTAGTTCATACCGAAAACAGGGACCAAAATGCAAATTGAGTGGAACCACAAAGATGAAAAGTGTAAAAATAAACTAAAAATGTAATAAAACAATGACAAGGTCATACAACATAAGGAATGTAGGAAAGTTGTACAAAACCCATTATTCCTCTCCACTATAATATTGCATGAATCCTGCTCTCTCTCTCTCTGTCAAAATTTTCTAAAAGGAAATATAGTCTTTTTTTTTTTTTTTTTTTTTTTTTTAAATTTTACGGGTTTAGTAACGAGAATAAAAGAAAAGGAAAAATGGAACCTTTTACGGGGCCATGAGTCCTTCAAGGGTGTAAGTGAGGGACTCTGCCCAGTCAGCCTTAAAGAGCAATGCTTGTAAAGTTTGCATCACATCGTATTCGGGATCAAGCTTCCGCTGCCACCCCTAGACGGAAAACAAGAGAGTTTGAATGAAAATGTACATTTTAACTAGTTGGCATTCATATAACACCGATGACATAGAATGGCCTAAACATGAAAGGCAATAAATGGTCAGACATGTCTCTGCTTTCTCCAACTCCATATATTTTCACTAACTGCCTCATCCTCTAAGTTATATCGAGTACTGTTATTCGATTTTAGATCTTAGTATGTGAGGGTGTGTGACTTTCATGCAGATGTTAAAGGAAGAAGCGCGTTACCTCGAGAACCAAAGTGGTCACCATCACTGTGCAAACATTGCCATCAATTCGAACTTTATGCCGCTGAACTTGCTCAAGCAATTGATGCATGCAGTCGGCAGCATGGATGATGTCTCCTTCTGGGGAGTACCAGATTTTAAAAGATTTTTCTACTTCCTGTTAGAGAAATGCACACATCAAGTTAAAAAGTGACTATGATCTATCCGAACCTCTATACAAACATTTAAATAAAGGAATATATGCAGAACTCAAATACCCATGTTTACGTTTGCATCTTTTTACACACGACTCATGGGCACAGTTTTGGTTAAGGCCTCAGAGTCTAATTCGAAACTTGGATGACACCTTAACAAACATAAAGGTAACAGTTTACAACACATAATAGTCATTTACTATATATTATCATCGGTAAATTATGGCCAGTTGCAGCATGCCTGAACAGAGAAAATACCTTGTCCAACAAGAATAACTTTTGAATTATGTTGAACCAGTCATTCATATTCATGCAAATTACGAAGATAAGGTAGCTTGTAAGTGTTAAAATATGGCCAACGGCCTTTAAGCCAAGTAGTATCTCCTACCCCTTAAGAATAAGAACGGACTGTTGTGTTCTTATCATTTTTCCAGAAACTTTTAAATAAACATTTTGGATAAACAAGGATCAAAAGTTACGAAGAACTTTGAATTAAAAATATATCTTTCGATTTGGTGTGAAGTTTTTTAGCTAAGAGACAAAAGTGACAAGTGTAAAATTGTTTTGAATTGCAAAAACTAACAAGTTCTTTTCTACCAAAAAAGCTTGGAAGCAATGCATTACCTCAATGAAAGCCTTGGGATTTGGGCAGTCTTGCTGTCCAGATAATCTCAGAGTGCGCTCTGCAACAGTTCGACCATCTTTAAGGGCTACAGCCTTGAAGAATTCGACTAAATTCAGTTGATCTCTCTTAGAAAGTTCGGCAGTCATGCCCACATCAAGGAAAACAACATGAGGCCTCATTCTAAATAGTTGTTTACTTGGTAACTTGCAACGGGATACTCTGACAAGAATATTCCCAGGATGCATGTCAGCATGGATAAAATTATCAACCTGGAAGAAAAAGTACACATCTTAGCGTTTACTTAAAGGATGAGAACTTTCAAATTCAAGCTACTAGCTGCTACCATCAACAAATCACCTCTAACTGTTCTACAAGAATTATGTTGATTACTAGGTACTACAAGCCTCACTTTTTCACTTTAAATAGAAATTTATTTACCGGGCCGGCTCTTAAAAAGGCATACGTACTGCAAATAGATTGATACATGCAATGTAGTGAAAACAAACATAAATTTCCACTAGCCTATGGTATATGTTCTTAATGGTATGCCTTAACAAACATTCAATTAGTTCATGCCCTATCATTGCCGGTTGGTGCAGATATTGTTATTGGTCAGTTACATTTTCGAGACTGGTTAAGGGTAGAACATAAAGAAACCTGTAAACCAAGATGATGGATTTACATAAACTAAATAAGTTAAAAGGATTGAAAGAAAAAGGAAAAAAATAACGAGCAGAACATAGTAAATTTTACCAGAAGCATCTTCAACAGAGCATGGGACCCGATGTGAGCAAGGGCATTTTTTATTGGTTCATTTCCTTCCAGCTCATCAACATAGTGCATAACACTTTGGCCCTGTTCATAAGTTTCCACTAAAACGGATGGGTGCACCAGGGGATATAGAGGCCTCGGAAATGAGACATCCTTCCATCTTCGGAAATTATAGATAAAACGACTCAAATGTGCAGCTTCCCTTGACAGATCAACTTGTGACATCATGTAAACGGCAAATTGCTGAATGCTTTCATCCAATCTCAACGACTTCAAATAAGGGATTAACCTTGAAATTTTGGCTACACAATGAATAATCACGAAGTCCCTCCTAATTGCCTCACCAACACCGGGATGTCTAACCTTGACAGCGACAACCCTGGGCTTGATCTGCTGACCCGGGTATCTGTATTTGAGTACAGCTTGATGGACTTGAGCAACACTTCCTGATGCCACAGGTTCCTCCTCAAATTTTTCAAAAATTTCAGGCAGCCTTCGACCAAACGCCTTCTCAATACTTTTTTGGGTGAAGTAAAAACTATGTGCTGGAGCATGAGTGTGAAGTTCTGAAAGTTCACTGCACAAATCTCTTGGGAAGAGATCTGGTCTTGCAGCAGCCCATTGACCCCATTTTATGAATGCCGGGCCAGCCTTTTCCAGTGTAAGATGGAGAACACGAAGCCATATTTTCCTATACCGACGGCCAAGGGACTTTGCAAAGGGTGCCATAGCTATACAGGGTGAGAACAAAATTGCTAGATAAACTGCTCTAATAAACAAGATAAAACACTCCACAAGCGCAAACACAAGTGCGGTTAAATAAATATGTCCATCTTGGGCATGAAGATAAAGAGTGTCTTTTGTTGGGAGGCCTTCTGCTTCTGCACATGTTCTCTGTGTCCGAGCAAACTCTCCAATTACAAAGGCAATAACACCAGGAGCTACTAAATTTGAGCGTGTCAAAGACAAGCTCACCGCACGTGCAATTTGACCAATTGGCCGTAAAGTTGGGCCCCTAAAGGAACATAACTGAGAAAACCTTTTCCAAGCAAATTGAGCATGGTGAGAAACTCTGGTTCTTGACGATAGGGTATATAAGTTCCTAGAACCACTGCTCCTTAACAACTTATCTCTTGCTTTATGTAACATAAACGGAGACTGCCCTCTTAAACAATGCATATACCTCGGAAACAATCTGCATAGGGTGTAAGGGGCTTCAACTGAGCGATACACTTTGTTACTTGCAACTTCTACGTATCCAGTTCGCTGATCTTGAAGAAAGGATCTTACACCCCTCCTCACATTTCCATAGGCCAAAAATCTGCATATCATAAAATCTCTTTCATATATAACCAGTCCACTTAAGCTATAAAACCGAAAATACAACAGAAAATGAAAACAAGACAAAGATGCTACTCCAGCATGAAAATTATGCAGAGTTTTGTCGGTTATTTTAGAATTTCGACTCGATATAACAATGACAAAGCACAAAAATTTTGAGAACCCAATGCCCCCATCACTTCTCTGAAACCAAAGATTTTGAATAGCCCTCTGATCCATGCTTATTGGGAATCAATTATATACATATCAATTATGTATGTGTGTGTGTGTGTGTGTGTGTATTTATTATTCTGCAAAAGAATTATTAACTCAGCCACAACAGAAGCATATGTTCAACCAATTCGAATATATGAACAAATAAAATAAACACAGTTGAGCTCGTTTGGGATTGCTTCTGAAAACGAAAAAGACTATTGATTTCCATTTGTTCTTTTTCCCTCGGTTTTCTCAGCTACCAAACAAAACGCAAGAATTAAAGGAGAACATTCAAACAGACGAAAGATCGAAACTTTGACAAGGAAACCGACCTGGACATGGTGATCGAGCTCGTGACGGTTGCACTCCAGGAAACGCAGGTGGCGCAGTTGTTCGGTCGCCGGCATTTCTATTAAAACGACGGCTTATAAACAATCATCGGCGTCCGGCGTGCCCCGGCCATCTGCCGCCGCGGACGGTGATGATTGGGGGACGCATGGTGGTGGTGATGGTGGTTGTTACACGTGTCGGGGTTCCGGCGGCTGAGAAGTTTGTGGTTTTTGTTTGTTTATTCTATTTTGGTTACGTGGACCGGGATGGTTGGAACTTGGAAGGTCGATCTGGTTCTGGTGTCGCAGAAGAAAGAAAGCGCTGAGCCTTTTGTACGGAGTGTCTCAGCTTGGAACGAACGCCGTCTTCTTTCTTGGTCGGGTACTTTTTTATGGCTTTTTATGGGCTTACTTATCACAACTTTATCACAAACGACCCAAACTGTTCAATCCATTCATCCATTTACTCAACTTACCATTTTATCCTCAGCAAAACTATATATATATATATATATATATATATATATGGAAGTGTTATTGGTACTCAAAAAATTCATTCTACACTTCTCACAAGTATATTTTTCTTTCCTAATATGGAAAGTTTAGAGTGTAGAATGAGATTTTTGAAGTGCTAATAACAATTTCCTATATATGTACGTATGTATATATGTTTACAACTTTCTATCCTCGTCAGACAATAAGTGGTCCTTTTAAGGTCTTGAACGTCTTCACACATTACCAATCATGATTTTGTGCTAGACGGTCACACATGAAATTATCTTAAACTTAAGGATCTTAATCTGTGTAGCTTACTCTTTTAATTTCTATGTTCTGTTACGTGAAATTTCATATACATATTGGTATCATATTTAGCAAATTTGCAACAATTTTTTTTTGTTACAATCATTTTAAAACGTTGATAGAGTGTTGTTGTAAAATTTGAAATTGTAAAGGCTTAAAGCCTTTACGTAAAACCAACCAATGAGATATGTGTATATATTACATGTAGGTTCGAATAGGGGAACTATTTGTCCCTTTTGCTTCACTTCCAATCCACTGTAGGCTTCCCTTCCAATCCACTTTAGGCTTTTTAAATGTACATACCTCATTAGTTTCTTCTTAATTATCAATTTATGTCTTATATCTAGTCTTTGTGTTACGAAGCGTGTCGCTTATTTTTGAGTTTACGTGGAAGTTACATTGGCACCATATAAATCAAAATCTCATCGAGCCTTGTCTTCTCCTCAATCAACACCTCGTATTCCAAAACAACAACCAACCTTTGCCACATAATCAATTTTGCAAAATATCGACCATATTAAAATCGACAAAAGGCCCAAATCATGAATTACCATGGTGATTAGGACATTCTCTTTCAACCAAGTGCATTTTTTGGGTTCAAACATTTCACTCTCCCTCAATGTAAACTAAAGTAGTAATACCGCTTGTATTTAAAATAATAATTAAGATAATTGATATGATACTAAAACCTCATGATGCAAAGTGAAAAAAATTGTAATTTTGTGACGCAATTAAAAAAACACCTAAAATGTAACTAGCCTAAAATAAGATAATGTATCATAGAGAAGTTTTGATGAAGTCAAGTCAAAGATTAACCATCTTATCCCTCTCATCTTCTGTGCAACTATAGACATAAGTAGTGGTGGCCGGACTTGAGGAAGGGTTTGATAGAAACCAAAACTACACGTATTGTGAGAGCTTTGATTATTAACGTTATCGGAAATGCACGCCGGCTAGTAATCTTGTCCCGGAATGTTATAGGAACAAAACTACTCTGATCGGCTCCAATTGTAGAATGAGGGTGGCCAAAAGTTTAGGGTTTGGTTTAAAAATGGGGCAATATATTGGAGCTGGTCTGGTTGAAATTGGTTTTGATCATTGATTTGTTGAACATCATCGTTTGAAGGAAATTTAGGATACGATGATAGCAGTCTGCGTTGGTATGATAACAAATGAGCGTTTAAATTGAGGTCTAGATCCATTACAGGTCCAATTCCGAGAAAATTTAAAATATTAAGATTTGAAAATTGAAATCTGTTTGGTAACTATTTTTAGTTTTTAGTTTTAAGAAAAAATTAAAATTGAAAACTATTTTCTTTTTTCAAAATTTGGCATTGAGTTTTCACTTTTTGGTTTTCTGTTTTATGAAATTTGAAAACGTTATCGAACACAATTTCAATAAATTTCAAAAAGTGAAGATTGAAACAAAGTGGCTAAAGGCGCAGACTGCAGCTCTCCAAAAAGACAAAGAAAATGTGGCAGGTCCTAGGTCCGATGCTTCGAGTGGGTGAATCTGCTTAACTGTGGGTGAAATTCCTGATAACCTCTCTAGACCCGAAAAAGAAGAATAACTGTGGTTTACCACCAGTTGTCCATCTTTTTCAAAAAACAAAACTACCCCATTAAATTATGTGGGCTACTAGGGTTTCTGTGCAATAGACTATTACAAAGGGTTTTGTAAGGTTTCGGTCCATCCTAGCAGCCAGCCTTTGAGTCCACCTCCGGTCCGACGCAGTTTCCCGCCATCACGTGGCATGTTGAAGCTCAGCACCCACTACAAGACAATATACCCTACCTCACACGATGACCTCCCTTCTACTTACTCCATTATATTCCGAAGTTGAAATCCGGTGGGCGAAAACAACCCCAATTTTTTACGAACTCGGTCATTTCTCACCTTAAATAAAAAATTGACTCAATGTAAACTAAAGTACTAACTTGTATTTAAAATAATAATTAAGATAATTGTTATGATACTAAAACCTCATGATGCAAAGTGAAAAAAATTGTAATTTTGTGACGCAATTAAAAAAAAAAAAACACCTAAATTGTAACTAGCCTAAAATAAGATAATGTATCACAGAGAAGTTTTGATGAAGTCAAGTCAAAGATTAACCATCCTATCCCTCTCATCTTCTGTGCAACTATAGACATAAGTAGTGGTGGCCGGACTTGAGGAAGGGTTTGATAGAAACCAAAACTACACGTATTGTGAGAGCTTTGATTATTGACGTTATCGGAAATGCATGCCAGCTGGTGATCTTGTCCCGGAATGTTATATGAACAAAACTACTCTGATCGGCTCCAATTGTGGAATGAGGGTGGCCAAAAGTAGTGATTAGGGTTTGGTTTAAAAATGGGGCAATATATTGGAGCTGGTCTGGTTGAAATTGGTTTTGATCATTGATTTGTTGAATATCATCGTTTGAAGGAAATTTAGGATACGACGATAGCAGTTTGCGTTGCCATGATAACAAAGGAGCGTCTAAATTGAGGTCTGGATCCATTACAGGTCCAATTTTGAGAAAATTCAAAATATTAAGATTTGAAAATTGAAATCTGTTTGGTAACTATTTTTAGTTTTTAGTTTTAAGAAAAAATTAAAATTGAAAACTATTTTCTTTTTTCAAAATTTGGCATTGAGTTTTCACTTTTTGGTTTTCAGTTTTATGAAATTTGAAAATGTTATCGAACACAATTTCAATAAATTTCAAAAAATTGAAGACTGAAACAAAATGGCTAATCGGCAAGTGGCCCAATAGTAAAGGCGTGGACTGCAGCTCTCCAAAAAGACAAAGAAAATGTTGGAGGTCCTGAGTCCGATGCTTCGAGTGGGTGAGTCTGCTTAACTGTGATCACAGGCAAGATGAAATTCCTGATAATCTCTTCCGACCCGAAAGAAGTGGATAACCCTGTAGACTATTACAAGGGGTTTTGAAGGTTTCGGCCCATCCTAGCAGCCAGCCTTTGAGTCCACCTCCAGTCCGACGCAGTTTCCCGCCATCACGTGGCATGTTCAAGCTCAGCACCCACTACAAGACAATATACCCTACCTCACACGATGACCACCCTTCTACTTACTCCATTATATTCCGAATTTGAAATCCGATGGGCGAAAATAACCCCAATTTTCGACGAACCCGGTCATTTCTCACCTTAAATAAAAAATTGAAAAACACCAAAATTCCATCCAATTCCGCAAATTTCTCAAATTAATTTGATAACACGGAGGAGAAAATCATGCGAAGATTCTAATTCCTTTCCCTCTCCCGATGCAGGCAATGCTCTGATGATGATCTGATTGATTCCTTGTTCCAATCAGAGATTCGGAATATCAGAGCATTGCTTGTCATCCAAACAGTGGCTTTTGTCTTTTCAATTTTTTATTGCTTGGAAAATTTTCTGAAACTTCTTCAGGTAAAGCAATCGATGACCCTTTATCTTTATATCCTCTGCCGCCTTTTTAACTCCTCGGATTGGCGGATTGTTTTGACCTCCGCAATCCCCACAACCCCTGTTTGGTTGCTGAGAAAAAAACTGGAGGAAAATTCTGACCACCATTTTGCTTTTTCTGAGTCAAAGCTTTAAAACCCCTTCTTTTTTTTGACACAGAAATGGAGTTTCTGAACCGGGTTTCTGGCAGTTCTAGGAATCGCTTGGCATCCCACATTCATAGTTTTCTTGCTAAGAGGTTGGATTTTTGAAAGTTTGGAACTTTAATTGATCGAATTATAGTATTTTTGTTGTTATTACTTTTTTGTGTTTGATCATTGTCATTGATTTGAAATTGGGATTTGATGATTGAAAAACACTGCCAGTTGGGATATGATGATGGGTGATACGAAAACTGAGGATAAGTTGAGGGACTTTTACATTCCGAATTACATACTTGTGAGTGGAGCCGATATGCCAAAAGTTCGAATTGTGCCTTCGTGTCCGGTCATTGTGTTTGTTAATGCCAAAAGTGGTGGCCAGCTTGGAGGTGAACTTCTTCTTACGTATCGTTCCCTTCTCAATGAAAACCAGGTTTACTTATAGGCTGCACCGCAGCTACTTCTAATTTTGCTTCGTGGATTTACATGTTTTTTTGAGTTTGAAGTAATGGGATGATTGGCTTGACTCATTTTTCAGGTTATTGACTTGGGAGAAAAGGCTCCTGATAAGGTGCTACACAAGCTTTATGTAACTTTAGAAACTCTCAAGAGCGGTGGAGATGTTTTGGCTGCTGAAATCGAGAAGAGGTTAAGAATAATCGTGAGTTGAGCTTTTATGTTATTCAAATTTTGATACCTGTGTTGTTCTAAATGGCCATGATTTCATTCTGTATTGTTTCTGAATTGATAGACACTTGAATTGATAGGTTGCAGGTGGAGATGGTACGGCAGGCTGGCTCCTCAGTGTAGTTTCTGATCTTAAACTACCTAACCCACCTCCGATTGCCCCAGTACCATTAGGAACTGGAAACAACCTCCACTTCGCATTTGGTTGGGTAATACTCTGTTTGCCACCCTTGTGTGTTTCAGTCTATTATTTATGGTAATTGTTTGGCTTCTTCTGGATGTGCATTAACTCAACTCAGCCGTAGCTTTGTAAGCTCATCAAATTTTTAATTCACAGGGGAAGAAAAATCCCGGCACAGACCGTCAATCTGTGCAGTATTTCTTGAATCAAGTGAAGATTGCAAGGGAAATGCAAATTGACAGGTGAAATATATTGACTTTGAATTTAGAATTAGTCAGCTTTTTAAAATATACACATTAACAGGTCCGTACAGCCTACATTACTGCTCAGTGAATCAATACTCTTCAGTGAATAGTTGAGACATAGTCTATTTGTTTTACGTTTGTCTTTGGTATATCAGCTGGCACATAATAATGAGAATGAAGTCTCCAGCGGATGATTCTTGTGACCCTATTGCACCTCTTGAACTACCCCATTCTTTACATGCATTTCATCAGGTCTCCCAAAATGATACACTCAATATGGTATGATTTCCGTTTCCTGGTCAAGTGCCAATCGGAAAATTGATAACTCAATTCATATCATTTTCTTGTTAGCTTCATTTGTAACACGATTAGGTAAACTTACTGCCAAAATTGTTGGCTGTTCTCAGGAGGGTTACCAGACTTTTCGCGGCGGCTTTTGGAACTATTTTAGCATGGGTAGGAATGCAAGAATGTCTTTCGAATTCTGCTTGTGTGTTGTGAGGAAGGGATCCGAGGATAACATTTAATATTATTTTTAAGTTCAATAACATAACCTCCAAGGGTTAAGGAGAAATGAAATAAAGTAAGCATAATATCATGCTCATTTCAAGCATCTCTATGTCACGTGCGGGCATAATTTCATAATAACATACGATCAGATAAATGACGTCTTGCATAGTCTGCCATAGATTGAGATATAAGGCTTATATGACATGCTATGGAGAGGAATGGTGGTAATTGGGTAGTTATTCATAAAGGAATTGTTTTTTTGAAGATATAGCTGTCGATGTGCAGGGTAATTAAGTTATGCCCCCTGTTGTATTGTTGATGCTACAAGTTAAAGTTAAAAAAGAAAGAATGAAAAATCTGATCTTATATTTACACTGTGTTGCCCTTCCTAAAGTTTCGAAGTAGATATTGGTTTGGTTCATAAGTAGTGACAAGAACTCATACGGAGTGCAGTTTCTGGGTTTTCTGACAAATATATTTTGTTCTATACAGGAATGGATGCTCAAATATCATATGATTTTCACGCACAGAGGAAGTTGCATGCTGAAAAGTTTAGAAACCAGTTAGTTAATCAAGTACTAAATTATTTTCTGAATCTTTAACATCATGATCCAAAGTAGATTAGCGTAAAATAATGTCTATTTATTTATCACTAATTTTAATGAATGAAGTCTTCATCCATCTAATATGATGGTTACCTAATCAGGGTTTTCATTTGTTCTGGATTTTAAGCGTTAAGAAGTTGTTTTGGTGTCTAGGTGTTTCCATCTGTTACTGCATGGGTCTAACTTGTCCCGATAAGTCATAAATAAATTTTCTACTTTTCATAATTCTTTGATTTTGTAATTTGTTCAGGGTACTTACTTGAAGCTTGGATGTACACAAGGTTGGTTTTGTGCTTCTCTTTCGCATCCAGCTTCACGGTTAGTCTTCTAGCAACTGTATGTAACATTTGGAATTTTACTTTTATTGTTCTCAGTTGTACATGATACATCTTCTGGTTTTTCTTTTTATATTTCATAACAGTAGTACAATTTCTTGTAAAAAAATGGGCAGAAATTTCATAATAAAAAAATTCAAATTTATTGACCTCTACTTGACATCACCACTTTTGGACTCACCATTCAGTATTTGCACTCCCCACTCGACTTAAACCAATCGTCGCCTTTCCATTGAACCTCACCCACCATGCCCAGTCTAAGTTTTAGTTATTGAAAGAACTGGCTCGTGACAGATATATGATTTGCATAGTTTCAAGTGAAGACTAGTGAGTTATAGCCCAATTTGCGGTAAAAAAGACGAAAAAAGAAACCAATAAGTGACTCTTCTTGTTCTCTTTATTTTTGCAATGATCCGAAATCAGGATTGGTGAATTCATTTAAACATTCTGAGACCTATGGTTATCAACCATTCTTCAAGTTAGCCTTCTGTTTGGCTGTCCATGTTAGTGACAATGCCATAATCTCAACACAGGAACGTAGCACAGCAGATAAAGCTTAGGATCATGAAAAGACAAGGTCATTGGGAGGATGTCCTCATACCTCGCAGGTAATACAAAAGATCTGTTTTAAATTTTCGTTAACTGTTATGCCTCTCTTAATCTCTAAAGCGACTTATCCCAAAGGTTGTTTTGACCCTTTGTTTTTCAGATTACGTTGTGTAGCGTTACATTTTGCATGCTTCATTTAAACGAAATGGTACAATGAGTCCCAGGCAGATTGTTGATTAGAATGACATGTATGATAATTTGTTGAACATTAATTAACTGAATCAACTTATGGGACAAACTTACATCGTCTCCACGTCCATCTTTTCCTATTTTTCGGATTAACATTATTAGCCTTTCCATAATCTTTAAATTTCCATCATTTATCTTTGATGTATAGCATCAGGTCTATTGTTTGCCTCAACTTACCCAGTTTTTCTGGTGGTCTTGATCCATGGGGGAAACCAAATAGGAAGAAAATGCAATATGTGAGTTCCGTTTGCTCCCCTTATCTGTTCAGACATATTGGTTCTCTCCAAAATTCCAATTGAAAAGTGTAGCAATTTTTCTTGCCAACACTTTTTAATGATTTTTTTTCACATGATGTGTGCTTAACAGCGGGATTTAACTCCTCCATATGTGGATGATGGCCTCATTGAAATTGTTGGTTTTAGAGATGCCTGGCATGGTCTTGTGTTACTTACTTCTAAGGGACACGGGACTCGTATTGCACAAGTACGATAAGTATATCCTCCGCTGATCATTCAATGCTGCAGTCATCTTTAGATAAACACAAATCAAACTAGTTTGAAGGATCATCGTTTGAAGAATTCATCTTTATTTCTGTTTCTTGTCACTCTCTCGTCCTTTGGTTGTAGGCAAACAGAGTACGTTTCGAGTTTTGCAAGGGTGCAGCTGACCATACATTCATGAGAATTGATGGGGAGCCATGGAAACAGCCTCTTCCAGCTGATGATGACACAGTGGTTGTAGAAATTTCTCACTTTGGCCAAGTCAGCATGCTTGCCACACCACTAAATCGTTCCCAAAGCATACATGAACCCCTGTCACCAGTGGGCTCCCACGATGAGGACGATGATAGTATTGACGAAGAATATGCAGATGCAGAAGAAATGGAAGAGAGGAGGAAGTTTGGTGCATCTGAGACGTTTAAATTTCCTGACGGGCCTGACATAGCTTGACTTAGTTAAGCCCTTAATTGCTCACAAGGTCAACCTGCATTGCAGGTTCGCGAAACTGGAGATAGGTTTTGTCCAACAGAGTCTATCGGGGCCTCAATTTGAAATCTCACCGTCCTGACAGTGTAGTCGAGACATGCTATTTTGCGGATTGTGTGCATACATAATTCTAGTAACATCTGGTGAATTCGGATTCAGATTCGAAATGCACTTCTTTTCCTGAAAATCGCTTGATTGTATAGGGCATATATACTCGATTCTGTAACCGTAGTTATCAATCCTTAGCTTGTGCAGCAAAACTCTGGTATTTAAGGCTATATAAGAAGAGAGCTCTACTGCCTGTATGTATTTACAAGCTTCTTAGTTACGGAATGCTCTTGCAAAAATTGCATCTCAGGTAAAATTATAAGGGGTTTGAGGGCTTGAGCCATGCAACTTTAATGTCCTTTTCTGTTATACAAAAGTAAAACTAGGAAACTGAAACCCCCATTGTACCCATGTGTTGTAACTTTGCAAATGGCGAGGATATGTTCTTGCAAATGCCGTGGCTCGTAGAATGACCAAGTTGGTTCTACTTTTTTATCTCAGCATTATTTGTTGGAGGAACTTTCGGATTTTACTTTCTTAATCTAGAAGAATGGTTACTTTCTTTAGCCTAGAATAATGTGTCAAGAATGAGTATTGAGGAGAATTTTTTGCAAATGCGTAGTATTCAAGCGGACATGAAAAAATGTCATTTCCGCAACTTGTATTATGTCATGTGGAGTATCACTTGAATATTCGGTACTTAGAAAAATCTATCTGTCTTAAAGATATTCATCCACGGAAATATCATATTATATGGGTTATCCTCCCTTCTACCATCTGGATCAGCCTTATATTCTCAATTATATCGTTTTGTGAATTTTGTTTTCCAGCGATCTTGCTATCATGCATCGAATAATCTGATATGGACTACTCAAGTTTCCATCGAAATTTGGTGTAACGTGTAAAGTCTTATTCGATGTGTACGTATGTGATGGATTAAGACCTGAACTATATTTTAGCCAATTAAACTGAGAAAGCTATGCACATTCTGCTAATTGAGCCCTTTCTTTCTTGTACGGCTTAATTCAAAAAGGAATTTAGGTCAAAAATGTTTATTAAAACGAAGGTATGATCATACAAAAATATGAATTCTAGCAACCTTTTCATTTGGACATTCTCGTTTTACTTTTTTAGTTCTCTTTGTTGTCTTGCAATGTTGTTTAAAGATTAGAACGATTTACTTTATCAATCACCGTTTAAAGATCATTTATGCAAAAAATGAACTAAATTTGAAATCATTTGGTCATCTAACTGTGATCCAATGAATAGACGAACCATGTTTCTCATTTAAACAACAAAATTTTGACAACATTAACCAAACAAATGATTTCTAATTTGGTTGGTTTTTTGGTAGAGTTGATCTTTAAAAAGTGATCTAGAAAATGAATGGTTTAGATCTCCAAACACCATTACAAAATGGGTAAAAGAGCCAAAAAAATTGAAATAAAGAGGTTGCTAGCATTTCCCTACCAAAATTTACTTACAAAAAAATAATTGAAAATACGAGACTACATTTTACATTTTTAGCCCAGCAGCTGTATAATTGACCTAAAATCAAAAACCCCTCTACCAAAAACAGAAAAAGTCATTTAGTACTACGTTCTAGTGATATTCATCTCTGTTCATAAGTCCATCTCCAATCCTGGCCTATAACCTATTTTCCCCCCCTATTCCCCCCTCAAATCCAACGCAACCCAAGCTTAAAATTGAACCTAAAATCTAAAATCTAAAACAAAGCTAGATTTAGCCATGATTAGTGGGTTGGCCCACTATTTATGTATATTTTATTTAGTTTTATATTTATAAATTCATTGAATCGAACGTTTAAGATCTAATTTGATGAAATTTAACGGTCCAAATTTAAACGGCTAAAGTAATTAAAAAAAATCTTTTATGTGTTATATTTTTTTTTTTCATAGTGTTTAACGAGTTTCATGGTGTCAGTTAGTGATTTTTTAGTATTTGTCAGAAACTAAATATTTTTAGGTTAAAATGTTCATAAAATTAAATTAGGATAGTCTACATAATTTTTTCTTTTAAAAAAGTTACTTTAAGGAAAGAAATTTGCCTAAATTCATTCTTTAATAATCTGGGGCTAAAATTTTAGGCCAAAATGATTAGAGCAGAAAATCTATTTTTGGATTAAAACCTAAATTTTTTGAGCTAAAAAGTTTAGGTTTTAAGCCAAAAGTTAGAGATGGTTTTAAGTTCGACTATTGCCAAGGCGAATTTGAAAGCATTTGTTAGGCTTAATCCACTTCCACTCCCACACTCATTTAGAGTAAATAATATTGTTTGTTATAAAAAAAAATATTAAAAATAAACATAAAATAAAATAAATAAATAAATAAAAACAAGAAAAGCGCGTGGCTTTGCACATTGTTTTGCAACCCTATTAGTGTTCCCACAGACTTGTTGCCATGATACTGGCGGTTGTGCCTTGATTTTCACTCCCCTTTTCCTATTAGCTTCCTCTATATATATGCATCAATAAATTCAAGAAACCTCAGATTTAGATTTCTCATTTCATACTCCCCCTTTCAAGTTCAAACTTTCACCTGTAAGATCTTTGATCGCAGCAAAACCAGCAAACAAGCAGAAAAAATGAGCGCAGGGTGTAGAGCTTGGATTGTGGCAGCAAGTATTGGAGCAGTTGAGGCACTGAAAGACCAAGGAGTCTGCAGGTGGAATGGCGTTCTGAGATCAGTCCACCAACATGCCAGGAACAACATCAGATCCTATTCCGAAGTCAAGAAACTCTCCGACTCTTCGTCTTCCGCAATTTCTATGAAGATGCAGAGATCACAGGAAGACAAGTTGAGAAAGGTCATGGAATTGAACTGTTGGGGTCCTAATACCATAAGATTTTAGATTTTAATTATGTAATTTAGATTTAGGGTTTATGAGTATTGGATTGTATGTCATCCCCTTCATCATGAGAATTAAACGACTTAATTTCATTGCTCATTGGACAAACATGGCGTTGTAAAATTTTGATCAGTGTTCTGGTGATTGTTTTAAACCCTTCGCTTATTTAACAAATCCATGAACAGGAACCATGAACTCTTCCGGTAGATCCATATCATCAAGGCAGTCTTAACATGGATTTGATGAATTTTAAGATTATCTTTTGCTGCAATAGCAATCAATTAACATACAGATGGATGTCATCCTTTTGGCTCGTGTGTATATATATCAAAGCATAATCAACAATTTAGGATATACAATTAAACTTTTAATGTGCCAATAATAGTTACCTTTAAAGTAAAAATAAAAACAAAATTGTTATCAAAACATTTTTTTTTTAACGTTGATATTCAATTTGTTCTCATAATGTTTGAACACAAGTTTCACTTGAGGTCTATTCGTAATTAAATTATTACCGAATCACACCAACTCAATTTCATATTTGATTTATGGATTCCCTTGATTTGGGATCGAATTCGTATCAAATCCCAACCCGTTGAATTGGTGAATGTGGAAAGGTAGCAAAACAATGACAAATTGAAAAATGAAATGAAATTAATTTAATTGATGCTTTATTGTGCAGCTAAATTAAAAATTTTGTTATCATTTATATTATGGTTTAGTGATATTCGTATTCACTTATAAGTAAGAGATCTTAAATTCTCATGAATAACGAATTCGATATTAAATTATGATTTACTCATTGTGTAACTTAACTCAAATATAACACCTTGTGATCAAATTATGGTTAATTTAGCCCAATTCCAATATCCAAGGAAATATATCAATGTATTCAAATTTGACTTTTTTTTTTTTGGGTTAAACAATAGAGGGATGCACGTGGATATGGAGGAGAACAACTTTTGCGTTTTCCCTTGGGCCGGATGAAAAAAAAACAAGCATCAGCACGCCGTTTTGCGACCCGCGTCTTACCAATACCACCGGCTGAAGTCCCACCCAAACCACTTTTTCTCGTCAAGAGTCCAACACTTGTCCTAAACTGCCGCCGCTGTCTTGAATCTCGCTGTTCTTTTACCGTATCAGCTGGCCTATATAAATGAAATGTACACATAACCTTTAACCCACAACAAAAATTCAAAAATCTCCTTCCATACTCTCACAACAACAACCAAAAAAAAAAAAAAAAAAAAATGAGTGCAGCCTGCCGAGCTTGGGTGGTAGCAGCAAGTATAGGAGCAGTGGAGGCACTGAAAGACCAAGGAGTCTGCAGGTGGAATGGGGTTCTGAGATCAGTCCACCAGCATGCCAAGAACAACATGAGATCCTATTCCCAAGCCAAGAAACTCTCCGACTCTTCGTCTTCTGCAATTTCTATGACGATGAAGAGATCACAGGAGGAGAAGGTTAAAAAACTCATGGAGTTGAATTGTTGGGGTCCCAATACTGTTAGATTTTAGGTGCTAATTAGGTATTTTAAAGATTTTATGTTTATGAGTATGGATCTGTCATCCCTTTTTTACATGAATTATACGGCTTAATTTCATGATTACTCGTTGAATCGTTTGTTACTTCCTTTTATTTTATTTTAATTTTTTGCGGAATTAACATTTCTTGAAAGTGAGAGCAAATTAAGAATCCTTGGGCCTAAAGTTAACTTGCGGATTTGGTCAAAAGATTAAATGCTGCCTCCCTAAATATACAATTTAAGAGAAATTTTGCAATATATATACCAGTCTGATTTTTTCTGTTTTGTTTTGCATTTCTTTTAATTACTATGTGTCGTCATGATAGCAATTTAATCAGAATTTTAAAGGATGAATCAAAATTAAAAATTGGATGAAAACGGAAAAATGCAATACTGAGATGAAAAAGGGAAAATAAGAGAACAAGATTAAAATAACATACTAACCCAGAAATTCAAAAGAGAATTGAAATCGGAAAAAAGAATAAGGTGGATTGGTGAAGGCACTGGAAAACTGAAAAGAAAATGGGGGCACTGAAGGCATAAAAAAAATATAAATAACCAAAACGCCTTTAAATCACCTTTCTCAAAAGAACTTGGGAGCTTAACTATCTTCAACCCTTCCGATCTATGGAGGAACTCAATGGTATTGTTGATACACATATTGGAGACAGGGCCGGCCTGAGGGTAGCTCAAATAGGCACCCGCTTAGGGCTCCTACTTCGGAAGGGCTTCAAAAAAATTTAATATCTTATAATTAACATATAAATACAAAAAAAAATAGTAAGAAATATCATAATTCATTTGTTAGTGCAGTGGAAATGTTGACTTCATTTTTCTTTGGGATGTTGAGTTTGAAACACAAAGATGCTTTTCAGTCACTAGATTTTTCTTATTTTTCAAATTTACTGCCAATCCATCTGTTCAACTCCCAATTCATCTGTCCAAATGCATATAAGTTATAAAACTCAAGTCTCTTTGCAATCTTTTTTCTTTCAACTTCTCATTCTTTCAATTTTTATTGAATGTTAAACCAACTATCATATGGTCTTAAAGATTGTACTTTAAGGTAATCAAAACTTTGAATTTATATTTTTCTTTTCAATAACTTTTTATTCAATGGATTTTAATATTCAATTCCTTAGTGTGATATTGGTTTTAGAAGAAAAAAAACACAAGAGAAACAATTGGCGTTGAATTTATTATATTCGTCAATCAAGTTTTATTGTTATTTACTCTCTTGATTATCAAGTTTTATTGTTCTTCAGTCTCAATTTTAGACTCTTGACTGCAAACATTCAGTACATTTGTGTCTAAAAAGGTGAATCTTGTAATGTTTAAATAATGTTTGTATATTTATCTTTTTTTTTATATATTAATTTTTAATAATATTTGATGTGAAAATAGAACTTTTTATGTATTTAGCGAATTCCTTTTTATACAAATCAATATACAAAGAACCGGAGATCAGAGAATTTTAGGGCCCCACTTTGAAGGCTCACCTAGGGCCCCCAAATTCTTAAGGCCGGCCCTAATTGGAGATCCTTTATGTAGCGACAGGTTGATCTGGCCAGAGACAAAAAATGGGCAGTACTCAATGAAGACCGGATACCACAAGGAGCAAGCCCGTATCAGCCCCTGGTGTATCTCGAGTCGAGTTTGGAAGGTCATCTAGAAGCTTAAAACGCCAGCAAAGATCCGAACTTTTATGTGGAAAAGCTTACACCGGGCTTTTCCGACGATGGATGAATTGTTCAAAAGGTGTTCTGCTCCCAATTCGACTTGCCCAATTTGTCACAATCAGGATGAATCGATCGAACACTTACTGTTATTATGCCAAAGGGTGGAACCTGTCTGGTTTGGGGGAATTCTTAACCTTAAAATTGACAGAGATACGGTTTCGAGTTGGGTGGAGTGGGTTCTCTCTTTTTCAATGGAGCATGGCAGTCCTAATTATGACAAAATGGCCCTCCTTTCGTATGTTGCCTTTTCATGTTGGCACATTTGGGAAGCGAGATGCAATTTTTTGTACAATAACTGTCAAATCAATCCCACACAAGTTTTATGTGCTATCTCCAATTCGGCCAGAGCTTTTTTCGAAGTTGTGAGAAGGAACCCGAATCCCTCAGATCAAGGTACGGTGGCTATTCGTGAGCCCATGTGGTTTACTCCTCCCACGATGTTCACAAAAATTAACATTGATGCCAGCTGGTCTGCGCCGGCGTGCTCGGGTTTTGTGGGAGTTGTTCTTCAGGATGCCGATGGGTTTTTTGTTGCGGCAACCAGGCATGCTATCAGGGCTCCGAGTGTGGGTGCAGCGGAAATGATGGCTATCCTAAAAGGTTGTGAGTTTGGATTAGCTCTGGGGCTTCAAAAGGTACTTGTGGAGTCAGATTCCTTTGATTCTGTTTGCTCTCTTTCGGAGTCTCTCGAGATGGGTGGATGGGAGGCCTTCCCTTCCCTTGCGAAAGCCAAAAGGTTAGGGGAGTCTTTCCAGGACTGTCGTTGGTCTTGGATCCCAAGCTCAGCCAACATGACGACAGACTCGTTGGCGTCGCAACAATATACGGAGATGTGAGATATTTCTTGGGTCAACAGACCCCATCTTCACTGGTTTTTGTGCTTCAAAATGAAGGGTTGCCCTGCCCTCCTTAATGTAATAGGAGCTGTGAAGGGGGCAACGCGATAGCCTGACTAGGGTGTCTTCCTTGTAACTCTCTCTGCTGTCCATAGTTTTCCTTTACTTTGTTGTTGGCTCGCCTCGTTGTAGACTCTCCTTGTATTGACTGGCTTATTTGCCCAAGTAATGAATTAACCAGTTTTTAGAAAGAAAAAAAAAGATTGTAAAATAAATGAACAATAAATTTTGGGACAAAACATCACGTACGCCCATCTCCAACCGAAGGGTCCAGAAGGTCAAAAATAGCCCGAAAATCGTCTTCAACCGAGGGCTAGGCCAGAGGGCTCGTGGAATCTGAGAAGGCCCCACGGAATCTGAAAGGCTGGAAGGCTGGTTGGGGCTGGCCAGAAACCGACAGGAATCCTTAAGCTAAAATCAGCTAGCCGTTGCATTTGATACACACACACACACACACATATATATTTACATATATATATATTTACAGTTTTATTATTATTTTTTATTTGCAAAATTTTTCCTATAACTTCTATTTTTCATATTTTTTTTATTTTTTTCCTATAACTTTTATTTTACAAAATTTGTTTCATATTTTTTTTTTAAAATTCCATTTTTTCCTATAACTTCTATTTCACAAAATTTGTTTCATATATTTTCCCTATACCTTCCTAAGTCATTATACAACATTAAATTAAATTAGGTAACATGAAACAACATTAAACAATATGAAACAACATTAAATAACAGTAACCAACATACAAATTATACAACATAAAAAAACATTTAACAACATGAAACTTAAACAATATTTTTAAAAATATTTAACAACGTAAAACTTAAACGCCTACTCCATGCTTCTTTTGGCCCAAAGATGTGCAACAAGATCCTGTTGTAGGTACTTGTTTGTGGCACAAGAACGTATCATTCAATAGCGCCTTATGTACTCTTTTATAAAGATATTGCTAGTTCTTGGATTGAAAGGCAAATTAGGCCCATTATATATTTTTGCATGAGCCCTTCTTAACCTATTTGGATCTTCTTGGTCGTCATCGGACTCTCCATCAATATATCCATCTCGCTCATCCTCCACTATCATATTGTGTAATATAATGCAAGACATCATGATGGAGTCCAAATTTTCTCGACTCCACCATATTGCCGGTTCGCTAATGATCTTCCACCGTGCTTGGAGAATACCGAAAGCTCTCTCAATATCTTTCTAGTATGCCTCTTGGTGTAAGGTAAACAACTTTTCTGCGTCATTCCTAGGGTTTGGAATTGCTTGGACAAGTGTCGCCCACTTTGGGTAGATGCCATCTGCCAAGTAATACCCCATATTGTATTGACAGTTGTTGATGTAGTAGTCAAGTTAAGGTGCTTGATCTTCCGTTAAGTTATTGAAGAGGGGTGAACGCCCAAGAACTGTAATGTCATTTTGGGATCTAAGGACTCCAAAGAAAGCATGCCAGATCCATGTGTCATACGAAGTAATCGCCTCTAACACAGCATTTGGCTTTCTTGACCTTTTGTTGAAGCCTCATTACCATCCGATAGGATAGTTCTTCCAATCCCAATGCATATAGTCTAATGACCCTATCATGCTCAGAAATCCATAGTTTTCGGCTTTGCGAAGGAGCCGATTTAAATCTTCTTGATTTGGCTCACAGAGGTACTCATTTTTGTAAACCTGAACAATTATGCCACATAATTGTTCAAGAGTATCAAGGTATGTAGACTTAGATATACCATGGGTTTCATCTATTGAATCAGCAGGGGAGCCATATGTCATCATTCGGAGTGCAATAGTAACCTTCTGATGAGGTGAGAAACCAGAGCAGCCTGCTCTGTCCCGCTTCTGTCAAAAGTATGGATTGACCTGCTGGACATCACGAAGGAAACGCTCGAAGTCATGACGCCTCATCCAAAAGCGACGTCTAAAATCCTCTTCTATGTACACCGAGTTGGGGTTGAAGTAGTTATTCATCAGATTAGCATGTGACATCGCTCTATTTCATGGTTTGTAAGAGCGACCAGCAATAGAGCCACCCCATTGAGGTTGTTCCTCAGTTGGCTGACACACCATGGCCGCAGCCATGACTGCTGCTCTGTTTTGTTTGTTGCGCCTTACTTGAACTTATTCATCAGACTCCTCATCTTCTCTTTTTCATTTACGCCCATTTTGCTTCCAATTTGGAATTGGATAAGGACCCCCCATTGGAATTCGAAGAGGATCCAAAGTTGGAATTCATTGCAAACTTGAATTGAAATAGATTGAATGCAAAGTTGTGGATTATATCCCAATATCCACCCTATTTATAGCAAAAGAAAAATTCAAATCCAACGGCTAGCTGACGTCATTTAGTCGTTGGATTTGAATTTAAGTTGTAGTTTTTAAATAAAAAAATTATGTTTGGCCCTATTGCCCTTTGACCCTCTGTTGGAGACTGTTTTTTTATGACAGGGCTAAAACGAGCCCTATGGCCCTTTGACCCTCGGTTGGAGACCGAGGCAAATATGACCATGTACTGTTTATTAAAATATTAATTTCTTGGAGGGCCAGAAGGGTTTTAGCCCTCTAGCCAGCCTTCAGTTGGAGATAGCCTAAAAGCTAGACGTGTATGAAATGGTCCATAACCATGACTCCATGGGCATACAACAACCCATATATTTTTTGTTTGTTTTGATAAGTCGGTTCATAAGATTCATACGTCTTGTGAGACTTTAGTAACCAAAAACAGATATATTGAGATTCAGATTAAAGTATTATTTCTTGTTTGTTTTTAGAATTGAATTAGAATGGATTACCCATTGAATTCAAAGTATATTAGAGGTAGGTGGAACTTTTCATTTTGAGACGGCATGAAAGAAACTTCTCCCTTATTTAATTAATCCTCCTATATTTTGAGAGGGTATAAATGAAATTTAATATTTGATACCAAAGGAGGCCTACCATTATGCCAAGTACTCAATGAGTCTTGCCATCCAAAATGTTAGGAGTAGGTAAAAGAAAATTATAGCAATAATCTCTTAACTTTAACTCAATTGGAGTAATGGTCCTTCAACTAAAAATTCATTACTATTGGTTCCTTAACTCATCAAAATGTGCAACTATGGTCATTTTCGTTAACTCGTCAGAATTCCATCAAAATGAATTATGTTAGAAGAACCATTACTACAATTGGATTAAAGTTGAGGGACCATTGCTCAATTTGGGTTAAAGTTGAGGGACCATGTTTTTAGTTGGGCTAAATTTGATGGACCATTGCTACAATTTTCTCATTTGGTTTTACATATTTGGCCCTCAATTCAACCTCATATGTGTGGCATGTGATTTATTTTGACAAAAGTTATGATGCAATTGAAGAAAATGACCATACTTGCACGTTCTAAGGAATTAAGGGACCAATGGTCATGGATTTTTAGTTAAGAGACTATTACTCCAATTGAGTTAAAGTTAAATGACCATTGCTACAATTTTCTCAGTAGGTAAAGGTGCACAATACTACTATATTTCAAAGTTTCAAGCCTTGATATAATAAACAAGAACAATATTTGGCTACTCAAAGATAAGTAGGAACTCATGCTCAAAATTTTTAGTATTTTAATCACAGAGTTCTATGCTTATGAATATAACCGTTCATACTATGAATCACACTGTAAAAATCATCTCTGTAAAAATTAAATTGAAACTAAGGTCGCTTAGTCAATCTATTGTAGAGAATACATAAACGGTTCGTAATACTTTTACCAATACCGTTCATTTGTTTTTAAATAGTTTGATGACTAAACGACTTTAGTTTTAATTGATTTTTTGCAGAGGCGATTTTTATAGGCTGATTTATAATATGTACGGCTCTGATTATAAACACAAAGTTCTATAAATTGACAACGAACAATTTTGAGAAATTTTGAATAAAAATTCATACTCGTCTTTAAGTAGTCAAACATTATTCAATAAACAATAGACCTAAAAGTGTCCTCCAAAATTATTGCTAACCCAACTTTTATTTTATTTTAATTATTATTAAAGGTTCAATTTTTGGACAAAAAAAATAAATTAAAGTTTAACTTATTGCGGTGAATATTGTTTATTTTTGGGTCACTTTCTGATGTTAACATGCATGCTTTATGTTTTCCAGATTTTACAAGGAAAATTCCGCTACTCTTGGATTCGATGTTTGAGTTGGAGATTATGATTAATTTATAAGTCAAGGTTTAGAATTCTATAAAAGGGATAAAAACTTACGTGAAGCTTTGCTTGTCTTTAAACTTTGTTAAGTGGCACTATAATTCAATCAAAACTCACCACTTGGTAAGTTTTAAATATAATCTTGTATAAATTTTATATTTAAAACTGTAATAATTAATTCAATCAAAACTCACCACTTGCCAAGTTGGAGATTTTTTTCTACCGTCTTCTTCTACACACTGTATCTTTCCTTTTTCTTCATAAGAATATGGAAAAACAAATTAAGACAATAAAAAAAATTTCCCCAAATTTTATCTACCATCTTTGTCCCCACTCTGTGATTTTGCAGGCGTTGTTAGTTTGATTTTTCTCTATCTGCTTGACTTTTCTTATGTGCACGAAACCTCCATTAAAATTTATATCCAAGGGATTTTCACCTCTAAAATAAAAACCCCAATTTCTCTAATTTAAATAAAAAATTCCCATTTTAAACTAACATGAAAGTTTAAAGGTGCCGTTCGGCATTCGATCTTCTTACTTTTCAATGCTGCACTCTCATCAAAGGATATATATAAAATATATCAGCAAAGTTATATATGTTTATTATTTGAGAATATATGCGACATCTTGGGCAATGAAATGTTGCTCATAATTGAAAAAATGAACAAAAGGCTAAAAATGAAATATGTGTTGGATTTTTCTTTTTTCATTTCATGATAGTTGGAGACGAAGGCTTAATTGTTTCTTCTTCATATTCTTATGAAGAAAGGAAAGATGCTGAGTGGGGAAGAAGATGATGGAGAACATTTGGGAAGAAGAGAGAGAGGGAAAAAAGAAACTATTAGATTAATCTCATGTTGTATATTAATTAGTAGGAAAAGTAATTATGAGAGTTTAAAATA